ACAATATAACGAGTGTTTAATTTTAATTAAATATGTAATAATTTTTAATAAATTAAGTTTTGATTTATACAAATCTGATTTATCTGAACAGAGGCCAGCCAATAATAGAACGGAAAAGGGCAAGAATTTTAACAAATGGATCACTCCAAATCACAGATATTTCGGATGAAGATGCTGGAAATTATACTTGCAGAGTGCAAAATGTATACGGAGCTGACGAAATTGGTTTTTCGCTAATGGTTAGAGGTAATTATCAAATTTCTTTTATATTGTACATTAACTGATTTTATAAATTTGTCTCTTAAATATAGATATTAATTAATTATATAAATGTAGGCAGTGGCTCAGATGTTAGTTAACCATAAAGAGTAAATTACTGCCTTATTTAAATACTTAAATAATTAATATTTTTAGTTTGTTTCCGCCAATTTTGTGAAAGGAAAACTCAATTCACGAGTGTACTTGGAAAACACAAAAGAAAATACGGTTAACTGACTTTTGGCCACCCAAAAAATTTATTCTTTTAGATTTTTTTTTCCTGAAATTTTTTTGTATAAAAATACTATAAAATATACTTTAAAAAACTAAATTAAAAAATTATTTTTCAAGCTAATCACATGGAAGGAAGAGGTGAGATAATAGAACTTTTTATAATAAATTTGAGTATGTTTTGTTTGATTAAGCTATGTAAAAAATTCTATAAATTATAATTATTTTAAATACGAGTATAATATTCATTTAAATGAAAGATTAAATAATTAAATTTTTTACGCAGAAAAAAAATTTTTTTCTAGCAATTTTAAAATAAATTAAATTTATAAATCAAATTCCTTGTTTCTTTTCTTAATTGGATTGTCCATTTAATGGAAAGTTTGCGTTTCTTTGTACATAGTTTTTCGCTTCGGCATTTAACGAGGCATCTCGAATCAATCTAGTTAACATTTACCATTCTTTTAATAGAATGAAGTTTGCCATGTTCAAATCATTCATTTATGCAACACACAAAAGAATCCGAAAGAAAAATTCAAGACACACCACCAAATATTCTTTTTCGTTCAATTTCCTCGAAGGAATAAAAGATAAAAATCCTCCAATGTATTGTACTTAGGATTTACTCTATATTAAGTGTTAATCATCACTTAAACTAATAAAATTCAAAATTATTTTGATTAATTCTATTAATGAATAAGAATTCTTACCTTTAAGTAAGATCTAGAAACATTAAAAGTGGTATTCTATTCAACTTTTTTTTTATGATCTTTCATTAAATTCGAAGAAAATTTTAAATGGAATATTCATGAAAGAATTTTTAATCTTAATTTAAAGTGCAAATGCTCGGTACTCAAGAATTAAACAAGATTCTTTCTTTTTTCCTTCTTCTTCTTCTTTATACCTCTCTAGAATTGTGCATTATCCTTATAAATTTATAACGTTCGAAGATTTAGAAAATATTCTTGTTCGGTAGTGGAATATCTCATGAAATTTATAGTAATGAGAAACAACGGACATTATATCAAGAGAGATTAGAATTTATTTATTAAAAAGAATAAATTCTCACTTTATAATATTGATCAAATCGAGTGAAAATTGTAAATTTTTTTTTCTTGGTTTTCGTGGCAATTTTCTACTCGTTTCTTTAAATCCGCGGTTTTAAATTAATCGGATTGACCGATATTAAAGTAGAAAGAAAGCATTAAGAAGATAATTTTATTCTTTATGCGACCTACTTTCTTCCGAAAATTTATTGTTAAGGGGTCTGACGATATCTGCACTTTTATGTGACATTAGATATACGGCCAAATGGCATCTACGTGAAACTATCACTAACACTCTGAAGTTCCATCTTAACGACTGCTACAACTAAATTTATTGTTAATTGAAGTTGAGCTTTTTTTTCTTCTTCCTCTTTTAGTACTACTTGCTTAATTGAAGGATGCCATTAGAATGTTTATCGATGATTCGTTTCAGTGCTACCCGCACCCGCTGTGTTGAATGTAGTCGGTGCCACCACAACATCCCTGCAATTAAGATGGGAACATAATTCCAAATATCTCTCTACCAAGATAAAAGGTAAAATTCTTATGTTTATACCTCAATTTACTTCATTTTTTTGTTGTGTTTTTTTTCTCTAATTTGGTTTAATTAAAAAAGAAAAATCGAAGTAATAGTTTGGATAATAAAAGTCTTTTCAAATTAAAGAATATTTTAAAGAATCATTATCATTAGTTTAATTGTTAGCACAAGTTGATGATTGTTATTTTTTTATTATTAGCGAATCACGATTCTTCTTACATAATATTCTAATGAAATGCAGATGCTCCTTTATTGACAGAAATCGACTCTTCTTATTGGTTTAAATTGACGTAATTCAACTTGAAAAGAAAATCGAATTTTTTTTTTCATCGAATTTATCTATTATCGTTTAAATTAAATTTTCTTACTTATTTTAAAGATTAAAATAAAAGAAAATACAATTTTAGGAGTTAATTATTATGAATTTATTCTACAGTGACGTCAAATTCACGTTAAAATCTCGCGTAATCAAACAGACGTTAAGTCCAATTACCGTTAAAAGTAAACCAAAAATGGCGCTTTTAATTAGCCAAAAAGTAGCCAAAATAATAAAAATATC